CGATATCTCACGAAACACTGTTACGCTGCGACGCGCCTGGCATACATCTACCTAGGCCTGCGGCGCTGACACCCGAGTCGGGCCAAAGTCGTGAGAAGGCATTCGGCCCCAAGAGTCACAAATTTTGTTCCTCGTGGTTTTATTTTCACGAGTTATAGTGAGACCAGCCTAAGGTCCGTCTTTTCACAGCACGGGCAGCATAGAAGTTTGCAGGCGAGAGGGGGTGAGGAAAAGACGGACCTTAGGCTGGTCTGGCTATACCCTACCGGATACCAACAAATATCTGATAAAAAAACATAGAAATGTTTTGCGGTCATTTTCGTGTAGAAAACTCCCTCTGGTGCCTAAACGGTTAAAGATAGAGCCAAATAGACGAAATTTTCGCTCAGAGGGCTCTACTTTGAAGAGTTACCCCTTAGGAAACAGTAATTTTTTTGGCTGAGCGATTAGCGAAGCCCATTACTCGACTGACCGGAAAAGTTTCATTCTGTTTGTCTGTCTGTCTGTCTGTCTGTCCGCACGATAACTCGAGAAAGAATTGAGATAGCGACCTGGGATTTTCAGGGTCGTTTTGTATCATAAAAAGACAGATCGAGTTCAAAGATGAGCATTCTAGCTCAAAATTTGGCTTTTAAAAAAATCAAAAACCACAGGTTGCAAAATATTTATTTTTTTCAAATATTTTTGGCTGAGCGATTAGCGAAGCCCATTACTCCACTGACCGAAAAAGTTTCATTCTGTTTGTTTGTTTGTTTGTTTGTCTGTCTGTCTGTCCGCACGATAACTCGAGCAAGAATTGAGGGAGCGATCTGGGAATTTGAGGGTCGTTTTGTATCATAAAAAGACAGATCGAGTTCGAAGATGAGCATTCTAGCTCAAAAATTGGCTTTTAAAAAAATCAAAAACTACAGGTCGCAAAATGTCTTTTTATCAAATATTTTTTGGCTGAGCGATTAGCGAAGCCCATTACTCCACTGACCCGAAAAGTTTCATTCTGTTTGTGTGTTTGTGTGTTTGTGTGTTTGTTTGTCTGTCTGTCCGCACGATAACTCGAGAAGGAATTGAGATAGCGATCTGGAAATTTCAGGGTCGTTTTGTTTCAT